GTCACTCTGACGCTCAGAGGAAGTTGTCTGATGTGGGTTCCTCACAGCTGTGTCATTCATGGGTGGCCACACTGTGCCCCCTCCAAGGCGTAGCTAACCTTGGGGGCACAGGTTGACTTTTCCTGAAGAGAAATGCGTCCTGGCCCTCCACGTGCCGTGACTTGAGATGAGCTGTGAATGCGCCCCTGACTTCCCCAGGCCTTTGCACACTGTCTTGTCACGAGGGTGGTTCTACGGAGAAGTCACAACTGTTCTATGAACAGATGATTAGCAGCCTGAGTGTAGCCTGGCTATGGCTCTGCAGTGCGGCCCAGGTAACGTGAGCGGCAGCTCGGCTGCTGGCTTCCTGGCCACCATGCTCTTTACCCCACCTGGCTTGTCTTGTCTGAGGCTCCTGTTGCACTGGTCAAGTCGACATGAGGCTCCTGCTGTCCAGGAACAACTTGTCTAGCTGTTTATGGAGCCAGATTGGATGCATAGGCGTGCAGGGAAGGTCATGGGAGGTAAGGGAGGGGACGGGATGAGGTAGGTGGTGACGGGAGTCTCTGGCCTGCTGCCTCCCAGCTGCCCACAGCTGCCCACCAGCTGCCCACCAGCTGCCACAGCTGCCCCCCCTGCTGCCTCCCAGCTGCCCACAGCTGCCCACCTGTGCGGCTCAGAGTATCCCAGCTGACCAAGGAGCTGTGCTCCCATGGGCTGTCGTGGCTGTCCTCTGATTCTGCGTTTTATAGACCCAGGCTGGAGGGAGCAGAATGGGTGCTGCCATGGGCCACAACAATACTCCACCAGAGCAGTGGCATGTTGGGGTCCGTGCAGAGCCAGGTTCTAGTTCTTGGCAGGCTGTTTGGCCTCCTTAGCCCAGCTCCTTTTGTGGAAAGCAGATGCCAGTGCCGCTCGGCAGGCTGTGAGTGTTGAAAAGGCCTCCTCCTGTTCCACGCAGGAGCTCAGCTTCCAACTCCAGGCGTGCCAGGGCCGCCCAAGCTTTAAAATAGTACCCTCCCTTCTCGCAGGTGTCGGCAGCCGAGGCTCCACAGCAGCAAGGGACTGCCCTGGGCAGAGGGGGCCAGTGCACCTCAGGCAAGCTGCAGCAGGGGACAGGCCCCTCTCCCAGGGCATCCTCTGCCATAGGCCAGGTCCACGGCCACGAAACAGAAAGGAGGGTCAGACTGAGGCAAGTGAGTGACAGAGATTTATTTATTTTTCGGTCGGTTAATGGATACGTTTAATAAATAAGGGAGAGTACACACTTGCTTCAAAGGAAAAATAAAATGAGATAGATGAGCAGGGAGAAGGAGGGAGGGAGGGAGATGAGAGAGGCAATCCTAAGAAATGTGTGTGTATTATATATAATACATAGATATGTATATATAACACACAAAGTACATGTAATCCACATATATTCATAAAGAGTACAAATAGGTGAGTGTGTGACATCGCTGTGAACTTCCCAAGGAAGCCACACCTAGGTGTCTTTACGGTGTGCCTGTTTAAGTTCTCAAAGGACTCACTGTCCAGTGAGATTTAAAGATGCGGCCAAGCTTGAGAGTTCGGTGAAGCTGGCTTGCTTCACTCTCTTAAAGAGACGCCAGTTGTGATTGAAGCCGTAAGCCATGTTTAGGGAACACGTTGTTTAGCTCTAGAGGTGACAGAACAGTGAACACACAACTGAGCTCCGGGTCACAAACACACCAGCCCCAACGTCAGCGCAGCTTGTTCGTTTCAGCGTCCCATCGGAGGCGTCTTTAGGGAGACATGCGTTGACTGGTGATTGTGGCTTCTGTGGTGCTGCAGTTTCCTGGCCAAGCCTGCAGGAAGGGCCACTTAGATCCGGGGGATCGTGGGAACCAGGTACATCCTCCGTGCACAGCCACTAGGCTGGCTGGCCTTCCGGCAGCTTGTTCCTAATACAGAAGTGGGCGTTGAAAACACTCTGCATGCAGGTGTGTGTGTGTGTGTGTGTGTGTGTGTGTGTGTGTGTGTGTGTAGTTGCTTATGCTTGCCCGAGCGTCTGTACCTTCCCCCTGTCTCTGGCATGTTGTTCTCTGGAGCACCCCCTGTTTTATGGGACCCCCACGTTGCAGCGACCCCTCAGAAGTCCAGGGCTGCCTCAGGAGTGGGAGCAGAGGGAGATGTTACCCCAGTGCGGGTTCACCTCACAAAACACGGGGAGCAGACACTGGCTAGGAACTGGAAGAGCTTTCTCTGAGCTAAAGCTCACGGTCCAAGGAGCTGAGCTGAGCATGAGGATGAGGGAGAAGCCAATTTTGTGACACCCTGGGAAAGGCAGGGACATTTGCTCAGTTGCACCTTCATTCCCTGTTGTGTGCTCCTCCCCAGGTGTGCGCTCCTTCCCTGGTGTGTACTCCTCCCCCTGTGTGCGCTCCTCCCCCTGGCATGCAGCCGTGCAGCTGTGTGCTGCCAAAGAGCCGTTTGGAAGGTAGTTTTTGGGGTGTACAAGGCTCCTTTCCCCTGGGCAGGGTTGGTAGCTCCAAGGATGGTGACTGGCACGTAAGCTTGCTGTGTGCAGAACGCAGGGTTGGTGTGCTCTTGTCACAGCGGTGCCATTGTCTGCTCACAGTCTCAGGTGTGGGCAGAGGGCAGAGGACTCAGCCACCGTGGGGTCCAGCCTGCGTCTCAGCATCCCAGAAGCTCTGCTTCCTCTCCTCTCTCCCCAGCGGGCACAGGCCTGCTGGAGCCTGTGCACCATGCAGCCTCGGGCCACTTTTCCTTTTGCTTTGTGTGTGCATGTGTGAACAGTTTCCACGTGTGTACATGTGGAAGCCAGAGGCTGACGTCAGATGTCTGCATCACTTTCTGCCAGTATTTCTTGAGACAGTGTTTCTCACGGAGCTGGAGCTGGCCAACGCCGAGTGAGGTTGGCTGGCCAGTGATCCCGCCTCTGCCTTCCCGCACGGGGGTTTCGGTGCTAGCACCCACTCACGGCTTGCCTGCATGCTAGGGGTATAACCCAGGCCCTCACCGTGGCTGCTCCTTCTGACGTACCAGCCTGGCTGTTTGCTCACTTTTGCTCTTTGAGTCATTAGCGCAAAATACGGTGTGAGCAAAAATGTTGGCAAAGGGTTCAGTAGACTCACACCTCAGAACAGGCTGACCCCCTCGATCCCTGGGTCCCCTGGGGGCTCCCACTGGGACTCACACCTTGGGACAGGCTGTCCCCCAAATCTCCTGGTCCCTGGGGGCTCCCACTGGGACTCTTCAAGCCAGGAACGAGGTTTGCTGGTCATTGATCGGGTTGAGACTGGCTGGCCCTCCTGCCCAGGTGACCCAGGCTCCGTTCTCAGTGCTCACTTACCCGTGACTCCGGGGGACCCAATGCCTTCTTCAGGTACCACTCATAAGTGTGTTACACAGACACTCTGGGAAAACATCCATCCAGGTGAAATAAATAAATCTTTAAAGAAATTTGAAATGCTGCTATGCTTTTTTTGTATTTTGTTCCTTTCAGTCTCTGCCTTCATGTTTTTTGAGTGTTTTCTTTGTTTGGTTGTTGTTTTCTGGAACTCATCAGAGCTAATCCTGATGCCCTGGGCGTGGTATTGTGGCACACCCCAAGTCCCGATGCCTAGAGCCCTTTGTGCTTTCTCTAAAGGCTGCTTCTCCACTCTTGGTGTGTCAGGCTTGCAGGCCGGGTGGCTCCACAGGTCGCCCTTCAGAAGCAGCAGTGCGCCAGGCTTCTCCGCTGTCTCCTTACGGTGTGTAGACGCTTCCGTCCCTTCCCAGCTTGCACCTCTTGTCCATTCAGATTCTTTCTGTTTAAGTGTGCATCTGTGTGGGTTTGTGTGCACCGCAGTGTGTGCGCCTCTGTGAGTTTGAGAGCACCCTGCAGTGCGTGTTGAAGCCATGGCAGATGCCCTGGAGCTGGAGCTACAGGTGGCTGTGAGCTGCCCAGCGTGGGTGCTGGGCAAGAGCAGCGTACTCTCTTACCTACCAAGCCACAGCTCCATCCTCCTTGAACTTCTGTGTGTATGTGTACACACGTGTGAGTGTGTGTGCCACAGTACAGAGGTTAAAGGACCGCCTCGAAGCCAGTCTTCCCCTTCCGCCGTGTGTGAGAAGGATCCGTGTATCGTGTATCGATCTCTTCTGTACACCAGGCCACCAGGCCTGCGAGCCCCTTCCACCTCAGTGTAGGAAGGCTGAGGTTACACACGTGTGTGCCTGGCTTGTACGTGGATGCTGGGGATTTGAACTCAGCTCCTGGGATGGCAAGCTCTTTATCCATGAGCCCAGTCACTAAAATAGGTTTTGTAGACCTCATTCATCACACCCCCATTAGACACCTTTGCCACGGGTGTAACTGAGCGTGTATGCGCACCCGGAGAGTGCAGACGTGGGGAGCCTGTCCCAAGTGGGAGGCTGACCTCTCAGGGGCCAGCCCTGTCCTGAGCAGTCATGCGCAGGGTCGCCTCCTGGAGCAGAGAGGAGCCTCAGGTGGCTCCTGTCACATGCCTTTAGTTGTGTAGTCTGGTTTCGGTGGAGGTCTGAGCTGCCCAATGCGCCAATGTGGCCCACCCGGCCCTGCCCATCCTCCCACGGGTCTTGCCCCCTGTCCAAGGCTTGCCCCTTGGTCCTGGCATTAAAGGTCTCACGGTGGTGTTCAGAAGAGTTTACACACTCATGCACAGATAAGCGTGTCACTGGGCACCGCGCAGCAGGGGTCAGTTTGCTTCTTCTCAGAACGTGCTCTCACGCTCTGCCTGCTGTGACTTGGTACGTGTCCTGGAGTCTCCCTTTCGGGGTGGCTGTTGGGGCCACTTTAGTGCCGTCTGGGCTGATTTAGTGTGAGAAACCCATGCTCTACTCTGGTGTGGCCGGAGGCCTCGTTTTAGCGGGGTGCACCATTTCCGCGGTGCCGGAGCCCAGTCCTCCTCACGCCTGCCTTGGCCTTGAAGGTTTGGCCTGCTGTGTGACAGGCCCCGTGTAATGGTGTGTCTCTCCGTGTTGTTTGGCAGATTCTCCGTGAGCTGCCCCTGTGGGCACACCGCAGCTACCGGGGGCCACTTGCCCGACCGCCCCCCACTCCGTCAGCGGGGCCCCCGATGGCAGTGGGCACCTCCCCTTGAAACCTGCCAAGCTGGACGCCACAGCCCTGCACGACCACACCTCGGCCAGCTCCTCGACCCTCTCCGAGGCCTGCAGCCATGAGGTCCCAGCCTGCGGCCCCGGCATCCCTGAAGAGTGCTATGTGAGCGAGGCTGCGGAAGATGCTCCCAGCTGCAGGGACCTCCGGGATGCCTGCACCATCACCGGTAGGCTGGCCCTTCTCTGCCGGGCGTGGGGAGGGGCTCTGACCGCAAGGCTGGGTCGGGAGGCAGCCACGGGCAAGGTCTCCCTGCTGCTGTAGCCAGATAACTGCCGGAAGCAGCCTGTGGGGAAGGAGGGTTTCTTTTGGCTCACAGTTCTGAGGGCACAGTCCGCCACAGTGGAGAAGGCTCCGTGCAGGGTTGTGAGGTAGCTGGTCACGTCGCGTCCACAGCTGGCAAGGAGGGAAATGGACACTGGTGCTCAGCTCACCCTTTCCTTTCTGTTTAGCCCGGGATAGCACTGCCCGCTTTCCCGGTTGGTTTCCCCGTGTGCGTTAACACAGTTGAGGAACTTCCTCGCAGACAAGTCCAGAGGTTTGTGTCCTAAATGACGCCAGAGTCAAGGCGCCCGTACAAACCACCTCAGGGAGGGCGCAGTCAGCACAGCACACGTCCGGGGTCAGCGGCCTTTCCTCCTGCTTTACCTGTGTCATCCTGCGGCTTGGGTCAGCATGAGCTCTTACTGCTCTCCCCAGGGCCCCACCCCTCTCACTTGTCTGCTGCCTGAGGGCACAGGGCTGGAAGCGCCCCCACAGGGCATGATCCATCTTCCTTTTCACGAAAGGAGCATGCTGGGAACTCCTTAGGAGGATCCCATGCAGGTCCATGCTCCTGTCTCTGCAGGGCAGCTCCAGTTCCTGCAAGAGCTTGAGTACAGGCAGGGAAAGTGGCTTCGCCCCATCAGGCTTTGGGGGCCTCTAAAGGTCTCAGATAGAATCCCCCCATGTCTTCCACTCTGGGGACATGGGCCTCCTTGTGGGGACTCCTTTCCAGTCCAAGAGCATAGTGGGAGGTGTCTTCCCATCTGAGCCTGAGTGGGGAAGTAGCGTCCAGAGGGGCTGTGTGTTCTTTCACGCTGGGAAAGCAGCTGACTGGGTGAGGGGAGAATGGGAAGAGGTTGGCTGCCCAGTGAGGCAGGACACACAGGACTCACAGGAGGGCGTCAGGGAGCATCTGCTCTGTGCTCCGGAGAGGAAAAGGCAAGGGAGACCAGGACACTCTGAACACTGGAGCTGGGCTTCCAGCACTGACTCTGCCAGTGAGATCCCGGGAACCTCAGGCTGTCCAACCAGTTTCACCTTTTCAAAGCCTGCAACTGAGGGCAAAGAAAAGGCAGAGAGATTCTGAAGGTTCCAGCCCCATGGGGTGCAGAAACCTGAGGCTTTTTGTTGGGATACCCTTAGCAAGCCCCAGGGGACCGCTAAAAGCCACGGTTCACAGCCGTGATGCCCAGCTGAGGCTCCATACACAGCCGTGCCAGTTCAGGCTCCACGGGTCCTGCTGGGTATTCAGCCCCTGCAGTCCTTATCAGGTGGTCAGGGCGACCAAACGCAGACACATTCTCTGGGAGACCTTGGATAGGCCTGGGAGCGCTGTGGGTTCTGAGGGCGCTGCCAAGCACAGCCCTGGGACGCGGCCTGGCAGCATGCCCCCACCCTCTCTTCCCAGGGAGTCCTAGAAGAACAGTGGCTTTCTGTTCTGCTCTACATTTTAGGCAAAGCTGGCTGCCCGTCACAAAGGCTTCTGTCCCCGCTCCCCCCTCACCCCACCCTGGAGAGGTGTCGTGTTGTGGGTGTGCCGTTTTCTGTTTGGGGTGGTTTCATAAGATGAGGTGATAGTGTTCCCAGGCCGCCAGGGTTACGTAACCCGCTGTGGGTCCCGGGCAGCGCGGGATCTTCAGTTCTGCCCCGACAAGCAAACTTGGGAAACTGCTGAGGAAGGCACAGAGCTGCGGCCAGGCCTGCATGGAGGCCCGCTCCTTCTCCGAGTCCTCCTTGGCGTTTGTGTCTGCCCATGGCACTGGCCTTTCAGCTCAGGCAGTCCTCCAGGGCCCAGCCTCTGCCAGGACTCGGCCACATGCCGGCTGGGACAGACTCATGTGGTGAGTTCGTGAGAATGCCTGCTGTAAAGCTGCTTTGTGGCATGGCCAGAAGGGAGGCAGGAGCAGAGGGGCCGAAGTTCCACCCTGGCTCTGAGCTGCGGTCAGCTTGCTGGGCACTTGAGGAATCACCAGGTTGGATGATGGGCAGGTGGAGGGCAGTGGAGGGGGAGCCGGAAGCTGCTCAGCCCCACACCCCCTTACTGGGCTCAGGGGAGGCCAGGTGCAAGGTAGAGGGCTGATTTGCTGGTCCAGGCAGGTCTGTCTCTAATGCCCCTGCTCCTGGATTTGTATGGTCTGCCGCCCCTCTTCCTTTTCCTGTTCCCTTCCTTCTCCTCTTCCTTCTCCCCTTCCTCTTCCTTCTCCTCCTCCTCTTCCTTCTCCTGTTCCTCTTTCTCCTCTTTTTTCAGTACTGAGAATCATGCTTTGTAGATAAGTGTTCTACCAGGGAGCTACCTCCCTAGCCCACGTCCCACGCTTAAACATTTTTATCTTGTGATAGGGTGTCCATAACGCATGCAGGCTGATCTTGAACTCACTCTAGCTGGGGCCCGCCTTCAGTTTATGGTCCCTTTGCCTCAGCCTCAGCATTTCATCGGTCCTTATCGCACTTTCCTAGAGCGCAGACTGGTGTAGGTGAGCGGGGATCTCTCAGATGTGAAGAGCAGAACTACCCAGCTTCCCCCTTCCCCCACATTCTTGTCCTCTTTGCCCGGAGCTTGGCTCTGAGATTGCAGTCCCCACACCCCTGACAGAGCCTTATGTCGGCCTGCTCCGGCTTGTTGCAGGCTTCTCACTGCCTGAGTGGATCAGACTCGAGTCTGACAGAGGGGTGACCCATCAGGTTTCCTGTCTGCACTCCCAGCTGAGTGCGGCTGAGAGGTGCGGCTCTTCTCGTGTCCCCCCCCTCCCCCGGCAGCCTCAGGCTTGCAGACCTCTGAACCTGCCGTGAGCCCCCAGATGCCCAGGACCCGCTTCTTGGTGCGGCATCTGTTAATTCCTGGGGTTTCCCATTAGGGGCCGGTGCTGCTCAAAGCTTGGAGGTGAGCATGGGTGCATGGAGCAGCTGAAAACAAGCAAGAACTCCTCAGGAAGTGGACGCTCCTGGCGTGTGTCCTGCCTGAGGGAGTCCGAGAGTGGTCTGAGAGGGCTCAGGCAGGAAAGCGCAGTGAGCTGTGAATTCAGTCCCGAGAACCCACATCTAAAGGTGACCTATTTCCTCAGCACTGGGGAGGCAGAGACAGGAGTATCCCAGTGCCTGCTGCCCACGTAGATGAATTGCTGAGCCCCAGGCCAGTGAGAGGCCCTCTCTCAAAAGCCACGATGGAGAGCAATTGAGAAAAGACACAGGCTGACTTCTGGCCATTATGGGAACATGTACAAAGATGCATGTTCACACACACACACACACACACACACACACACACACACACACACACAC